TTTGTCAATGCAGGTTCTGGTGCCAGTCAGTGTCTTGCATTGTATAGGTTTTATGAGCAAGGATTTAGGGTTTACCGGTGAGGACTTTGCCTTTAGGGTTTAGGGTTTAGGGTTTAGGGTTTAGGGTGTTGGCTGTCTCCTAGGGGAGGGAAAGACCCTTTGCTATGCGCTGCCGCTCATCAGCCACCTCTTCAATTCAGTGGGTAAGGAATGCTATAGAAACCTGTGGTTTAGGGTTTAGGGTTTAGGGTTTAGGGTTTAGGGCTTGAGGGTGGTGTCTGGGAGATTAGGGTTTTCGCTGGCTTCTCTGCTGTGGTCTCCCTCGGCGTCAGACGTCCGGGGTTTACTTAGTGTTTGGTGTTTAGGGTTTAGGGTTTAGGGTTTAGGGTTTGTGCGTGTGCGCAGTGCCTCGTTTGCGGTGCGTGGTGTTAACGCCGACGCGAGAGCTGGCGCTGCAAGTGGCGTCTGTCTTTAACTGCCTGGCAGGGGATCGGGATCGGGATCGGGATCGTGTGGGGAATCGTGTGGGGTGTCGAGATGGGGATCGGGATCGGGGAGCAGACGATCCCAGGGCTTTGCGGGTCGTTTGTCTGGCGGGAGAGACGGCTTCTGCCAAGCGGCTCAAGCCAGCAGCAGCCCCCGCTGCTGCAGCAGCAGCAACTGCAGCAACAGCAGCAGCAGCAGAGGCAGCAGCAGACGTTATTGTCTGTACACCCGGAAGATTTGTTGACGCAGCGCAGGTGTACATACACCACAGAAAGAGGGGCATCAAGGGTAGGCCTCAAACTCTTAACCCTGCACACCCTCAGCACGCTGGCTAGCTAGCTAGCTAGCTAGCTATGTGGCTGGCTAGCTAGCTAGCTAGCTGGTTATTTGGCTAACTAGCTCGTTGCTGAGACCCGGGAGTGGGGCTTCAACGCCCAGTGACAAGGGGGTAGACCCTACGCTTTAGGGTTTAGGGTTTAGGGTTTAGGGTTTAACGTTTGGGCGCAGGACGGGGGCCTTCGTTTGAAGCCCTTCAGTGGCTGGTACTAGATGAAGCGGATCGACTCCTCAGACAGGTTTGCTGTTGCTGTTGCTGCTGCTGTTTTTGCTGTTGTTGCTGCTGCTGCTGCTGCTGTTGCTGCTGTTGCTGCTGCTGCTGCTGCTGCTTATTCCTCTTTTTCTTTTGAGTGGCGTTCTGTTTGCTTTCTCACATGAAGCGTCTCTCTTGCAGTTGTGTGCTGCCTTGGGTTGCTTCACCCTAAACCCTAAACCCTCGGGGTGGTTTGCTGCTGCTGCAGTCATATCATGGTTGGCTGGATGTCTCGCGCCTGCTCGCTGCTCTGAGGGAATCACCTCAAAGGGGGGGCCCCCAGGGGGGCCCCCAGTTTGAATTGAATTGCCTGCTGCAGCTGCCGCCAGTTCGGAAGATCCGTGCGCCCACAAACCCTAAACCCTAAACCCTAAACCCTAAACCCTTTGTTCTTAGGCAGCTGCTGACTCTCTGCAAAACCATGCTGGTGAAGTTTGGAGGCTTCTTTTCAAGGGTTTAGAGTTTAGGGTTTAGGGTTTAGGGTTTAGGGTTTGGAGCGTGTGTACACCGCAGTTGTGTCTGCAACAATGACTCGAAACCCAAAGGCGCTGCACGACCTGCAGCTGTACAAACCCCTCTTCTTCTTCTCCTCACCGACGGGTACCCTCGAGCTAGGGTTTAGGGTTTGGGGTTTAGGGTTTAGGGTTTGTAGCTTGCGTTGCGTTAGTGAACTCTGCATTGTAGTAGCGGGGTCCAGAGGATTCTGACTGCTCCTGAAACCCTAAACCCTAAACCCTAAACCCTCGGCGGTTCTACCGGCTCCGCCTTGAGGCCTGGCGTCTAAACTCTGCCTTCTGTTGACTCCTCAACCCTAAACCCTAAACCTAAACCCTCTATCTGTTTCTTATTTGTCTTCAGGCTCTGCTATTACCCCTTCGCGGCTGCAGCAGAAGTATGTGCTATGCCGAGCAGAGAGGAAACCCCTCGTGCTCATCGCGCTGCTCTATCAACTCGCCAACGCAGCAGCAGCAGCAGCAGCAGCAACAGCAGCAGCAGGAGCAGCAGAAGGGGTTTCTACCAAGTGTGGGGCCCTTCGCGTTGCTGTCTTCTGTGGCTCGCGGGGCGCAGCACATCGGCTGTCGCGGCTGCTGCAGCTGCACTTCTTGTCCAGTGAAAGGTTAGCCCTCAAACCCTAAACCCTAAACCCTAAATCCTAGTTGAGCTTCGGGTGTATGCACACCTCAAGATCTCTGGACCTGCCTATACACCCCATTCTCCTGGGGTTGCAGCACTCTTCTAATGGTCTAAAGCGCCGCTTTCCTTTATTATTCAAACCGTACCTTGGTGCTTATGTTGCTGCTGCTGCTGCTGCTGCTGTTCCTGCTGCTGCTGCTGCTGCTGTTCCTGCTGCTGCTGCTGCTGCTGTGTTTCAGGAGACTGCAGGACTTCGTTCCGCCGTTTGACGCGGATGCCACTTCCAGTAGCAGCAGCAGCAGCAGCAATGATAGCAGCAATGATAGCAGCAAAGATAGCAGCAGCAGCAGCAGCAGCAGGAGCAACAGCTACCCCCGGAGCATCAGCGAGTTTAGTGCGAGCCTTTCGCAGCGGGAGCGGCATCGTCTGTTGAGGAAGTTTAAGTCCGACAGAAACCCTAAACCCTAAACCCCAAACCCTAAACCCTAAGTGTATGGTGCATGTAGAGTGGTTATCGTGTTGTGTTTGCGTCTCTCTTTTTCTGTTGTCTCATTTGTCTGTTTGTTTGCTGCTTTTATTTTTGATTGGAAGAAAGAAGAAAGGATGTTGAGGTGTATAGGCAGCTGTTTGCATGCAGAGAAGGCCAAGTAGAAGTTTTAGTTTGCTCCGATGTGGCGGCGAGAGGCCTCGACGTCTCAGGTGTACAGACAGTGCTGCATTATGATGCCCCACAGACACCCCAAGCATACATACATAGAGCGGGCAGAAGCGCAAGGTCTGTTGCTGCTGCTGCTGCTGCAGTTGCTGCTGCTGCTGCAGTTGCTGCTGCTGCTGCAGTTGCTGCTGCTGCAGTTGCTGCTGCTGCTGGTGTTGCTGCTGCTGGTGTTGTTGCTGCTGCTGGTGTTGCTGCTGGTGATCATGATACTGGTGTTGCTGCTGCTGCGGTGGATGCTGCTGCTGCTGCTGCTGTGGTGGTGGTGGCTGCTCGTGGTGTTGGTGCTGCTGCTGCTGTTTGTTGCTGCTGGTGCTGTTGCTGCGTTTGTTGCTGCTGCTGTTGCTGCGTTTGTTGCTGCTGCTGTTGCTGCTACTTCGACTTTGCAGCTGAGGCCATTGGCAGTGCTGCCGTTGCTGCAGTTGTGTCTGTGTGTGTCTGCCCCTGTTCAATGCTGCTGCTGCTGCTGCTGCTGCTGCTGCTGTTGCTGCTGCTGCTGCTGCTGTTGCTGCAGGGCTCGGCGCGAGGGTTTGTCTATTTGTCTGTTTACTGGCGAAGAGTTTATTCGATTTAAACAAAAAGACAAAACCCTCAAGATGGGCATCCGCTCCGAGCTGTACAGACACCACCTGCCTCCCCACACACTTAAGCGACTCACACCAGGGTACCTGCTGCTGCTGCTGCTGTTGCTGCTCCTGCTGCTGGTGTTGCTGCTGGTGTTGCTGCCGCTGCTGTTTTTCGCTGTTGTCGTTTGGTGCTGTTGGATGCCAGGCCTTCTCCCCTTTGCCAGCTAGCTAGCCAGCTAGCTAGCCAGCCAGCTGTCGTAAGCATGTGTATGTGCGTTCAGATATGAAGATTTATTAGGGGCACTGCAGCGGCTAACAGCAGCAGAGGCGAGAGGACAGCTGAGGCCTACAGACCCCCTCCGACTCGCCGACTTGCAAACAGAAGCAGCACCAGCTAGCTAGCTAGTTACCTAGTTAGTTAGCTAGCTAGCTAGCTAGCTAACTGGCCACGGGCAGCTGGCTAGCTAGCTGGCTATTTAGCCTAAAGGCTAGCGATTTGCATTATGGCGAGCTAGCTGGCCAAGCTAGCTAGTTAGCTAGCTGGCTAGCTAGCCATGATAGCTAGCTAGTTAGCTAGCTAGCCATGATAGCTAGCTGACTATGCAGCGGGGCAGCCGCTGCCTCTCTTTCTCACACACCACAAGCGACGCGGCAGAAGTGTAGCTGCGTTGCTCTGCAACTAGCTAGCTATCTAGCTAGCTAGCTAGCTAGCTAACCAGCTAGCTAACCAGCTAGCTAGACGCGTATGGCTAGCTGGCGGGTAGCTAGCGTCTCGCTGGCTGCTAAAACAACGAAGAAACCCTAACTCCTAAACCCTAAACTGCAAACCCTAAACCCTAAACCCCAAATTCTAAACCCTAGCAGAGCAGAGGTAAAGGCTCTCGCCGAAGCCAAAGCAGAACGCCTGAACCCTAGAGACGCACCAGACCTGTCGCTAGGGTTTAGGGTTTAGGGTTTAGGGTTAAGGGTTTGCACAGGATATGAAGTTCTGCAGCCCCCTTCATTGAGATGAGCAAGAGCAGCAGCAGCAGCATTAGCTGCAGCAGCAGCAGCAACATTAGCTGCTGCTGCTGCTAATACCCCACGTTTTGGGGAGCAATTTATGCAGCAGCATGCAGACGGTGATTTTGCCTGCTGCAGCAGCAGCAGCTGCTGTCGCTAATCTACCAGCAGCAGCAGCTGCTGCTGTCGATAATCTACCAGCAGCAGCAGGTGCTGCTTCTGCTAGTGCTGCTGCTGCTGTAGCTCCTCTGGAGTTGCTACAACTGAAGCTTCTGCTACTGCTGCTGTTGCTGCTGCTGTTGCTGCTGCTACTGCTGCTGCTGCTCCTCTCCCCCTACTACTGCTGCTACTGCTCCTCTTCCCTTACTGCTTCTACTGCTGCTGCAGCTACTGCTGCTGCTGCTGCTGCTGCTGCTGCTGCTGCTGCAGGTGGAAGGCTCTGAAGGGGTGGTTGAGTCTCCTGTCTAGATGCAGAGCAGCAGCAGAAATACCTCCAAACGAAGGCGTCTTTTGAATAAAGAAAACTGCTGCTATCCGCGAGTGCAGCAGCGCCATGCAGCACATTATGCACGGCTCAGTTGGGGTGTATACGCAGCTACCTTGGCAGTAATAATTACCCCCAGATATCAACTGCTCCTGCTGCTGCTCCTCCTGCTGCTGGTGTTGCTGTTGCTGTTGCTTTTGCTGCTGCTGTTGCTGTTGTTGGTGCTGTTCGTGCTGCTGCTGTTGTTGCTCCTGCTGCTGTTGCTGCTCCTGCTGCTCATCCAGCTGCTGCAGCCGCTCCCCCACAGCTTCCACAGCGAGGAGGACCGGGTGGTCCAGCGGGTGAAGGCACTCGCTGCTGCTGCTGCTGCTGCCGCTGCTGCAGCAGCCGGGCAGGAAGTCGCTGCAAGGAGGCCCGAAGGCGCAGCCAATGATGGGGCAGCCGCAGGGAGCAACGCGTGCTGCTGCCGGTGCTGGTGCTGCTGCTGCTGCCTCTGTTGCTGCTGCTGTTATTGCATTGCGAAAGGAGCTTTCCTGCTGATCTGCGCCATTGCTGCTGCTGCTGCTTCCCTTATCCCGCCTCCTGCTTTTGCTGTTGCTGTTGCTGCTGCTGCTGTTGCTGCTGCTATTGTTGGTCGGTATGGCCGCCTCGCAGCGGTGGAAGACGATGAGGCAGCAGCCGGCTGTATGTACACACAAACGCAGCAGCAGCAGCAGCAGCTTACAGGGCACGCGGGAATGCTTCACCTCAGCAGCAGCAACAACAAAAAGCAGCAGTAGCAGCAACAACTGCAACGGCGCTAGAAGCAACAGCCACAGCAACAGACAGCCGTCAGCAGCCCCATGCAGTACAGCAGCAGCAAGAACACAGTAGCAGCAGCAGCAGCAGCAAGAACGCAGCAACAGCAGCAGCAGCAACAGCAGCAGCAACAGCAGCAGCAGCAGGTAGCGGACATTGAGCTGCTTGCTGCAACAGCGCAGCGTGAATTGCCTTTTGCTGCTGCGTCATCTGCAGCGGCGCCACCGCTGTATTTCTCTCTGAGGCGCTGGGATCGATCGTCTCCAGCAGCGACTCCTCTGCTGCTGCTGCTGCTGCTGCTGCTGCTGCTGAAGGCCGCTTGCGGTTGAAGAAGCAGGGCCATACGGCACTCCACGGCTGCTGCTGCTGCTGCAGCTGCGGAGCAACAGCAGGCACCGCCAGCAGCAGCAGCAGCAGATCGCCCCACAAGCGACACAACCACAACGCATAGCGAGCCCCTTCTGTCCTTAGCCTCTCCAGAGTCCCTGCTGCTGCTGCTGCTGTTGCTGTTGCTGTTGCTGCTGCTGCAGCTGCTGATGCTGTTGCTGCTGCGGCTTCTGACGCTGTTGCTGCTTCTGCTTCTGATGCTGTTGCTGCTGCTGCTTTTTGTGCTGCTTTTGCTGTGGAAACGTCCTCTGCTGCTGCTGCTGTTGTTTGTACTGTTGCTGCTGCAGGGGTGTCGGCCTGTGCTGCTGCTGCTGCTGCTGCTGCCATGGCTGCTGCTGCGGGGTCAACAGCAACGTTTCCTGCTGCTGCTGCTGCCGCATACACATGAGCAACAACAGCCTCTCCTGCTGCTGCTGCTGCATCTGCTGCTACTCGTGCTTCAGATGCCTCTAAAGGGCTAGCAGACAGCAGCAGCTGCAGCACCTCGTCGTTCAACCGCTGCAGCAGCAGCAACAGCAGGACGAACAGCAGCAGCAACGCAGCAGCAGCAGCGGCAGCAACGCAGCAGCAGCAGCAGCAGCAACAGCAGCAGCAGCAGCAGCAGGAATAGAAAACCATTTAATTCGATTTTCCCATCGCCAATTCAACTAATTTGGTATACCTGAGGTCCTCCCCCCCTGTCTAGGGTTTAGGGTTTAGGGTTTAGGGTTTAGGGTTTACCGGGGAGTGCCCCAGCAGGACGAGAGCCTGCTGCGTGTTTTTGATTGTCTTGCATCGCTTTAAATGCTGAAAGCTTAAACAGCGACGCCACTCAGGTACGTACACCCCAATCTGCTGCTGCACCAGTTGCTGCTGCTGCTGCTGCTGCTGCTGTTGCTGCTGTTGCTGCTTCTCCTCATGTTGCTGTTGCTGTTGCTTCTGCTCCTGATGTTGCTGCTGCTGTTGCTGCTGCTGCTGCTGTTGCTGCTGCTGCTGCTGCTGCTGCTGGGAGAGGGGCCAGAAGGCAGCCTGCTGAACGGGGGTTGACAGAGGGCATTCCACATTCAGGGTTTGTATTGCTGCTGTTGCTGCTGCAGCAGGCAGCAGCAAAGCAAAGCAGAGAGACACAGGAGGCTGCTTCATTGAGAAGATCTCCTCGCACTCCTCAACAAAGTCTAAGCCCTCCATCTTCTGCTGCTGCACCAGTTGCTGCTGTTGCTGCTGTTGCTGCTGTTGCTGCCGTTGCTGCCGTTGCTGCTGCTCCTGCTGATGCTGTTGCTGATGCTGCTGCCCTTTCTGCTGCTGTTGTTGCTGCTGCCGGTGCTGCTGCTCTCATAGCTGGTGCTGCTAGGGTTCCCGCTGC